AAAAAAAAAAAAAAAAACAAAAACAAAAACAAAAACAAAAAACAAAAGCAAACTATACAGTATATGTTTCTGTAATTTGCTTTTTTCCCTCAACATTGTAAGAGTCATCCATGTTAATACATGTACCTCTGATTTTTTCCATTTTCACTAATCCTGTCATCAGGTGTGTTTGATCTGCTTTGTCTACCTTCTATTGGGTGTTTAAGTTCAGTTACTGTATTTTCATTTTGTCATCTAAGTTACTATATTTAATCACAGTTATTTTAAAGTCTGTCTGGAAACTCTGAGATCTTCTGTGGATCCATTTGTCTTGTTTTTCCCTGTTATTTCTCAATCATAAGGTCCTACTGACAGCTGTGCCTAGTAGTTTTTGATAGAATACTGAAATTTTGTGTGAAAAACTGTATGGGTAATTTGTGGCTCCAGCTCAGGGGTCTACACGCTATGCCCCATGGACCAAATCTGACCAGCTACCTATTTTTGCCTGGCTTTAGGCTAAGAATGTTTGCTGTATGTTCAAATGATTAAAAAATAATCAAATGAAGAATAATATTTGGCAACACATGAAACATAAAATTCAAACCTAAGTGGCGTAAGTAGAGTTACTGGAATAGTCACATTCCTTTATGTATTGTCTGTGGCTGCTTTTGTGCTACAACAGCTGAGTTGAGCAGTTGCAACAGAAACTAATTGGCCACAAGACTAAAAGATTTATTATTGGCAACCTCTCCTCTAGCTAATGATATGTTTCTCCAGCGAGGATTTACTTCTGGTAGGCCCTTAAGATACTAGGAAAATCGCCTTAATTCATTCAGGGATTTAGTCAATTCAAAGCTTGTTTTGAGTTCTTGTGGGGGTTATGAATTTCTGGTTCACCTTTACTTCTAGGGCATAGCCTTTCAGGAATTCTGACTAAAAGCCTGATGTATTTACCCAGAATCCTATTCCTTGATGGGCCCAGTACTTCAATGTTGATTCATCATCTACAACTTTCCTTCTTCCTAAGATTATGGCTCTTCAGATCTTTGCTGCCTCAGTAATTAATGCCTTCAAACAAATCATGCACACACACACACACACACACACAAATATATTTCTGACATTGTCAGAAATAGAAGTTCAAGGTGATCAGATTGCATCCCACACCAGATTCTTCAATGGCCTTCGATCTCATTTAGGAAAAAACAACTCCTTACAGTTACTACAAGAATGACTGCATAAGTGAGTCTAAAGATACATGGGTCTAAAGAGGCACAGGCAAGACAAAGCAGGTTTTTTCTGCCACCAGTGCATTAGCACACTAATAAGTATAGGACTTAACATTCCAAAGGAATATATATACCCATGCTAGTGGGAGTCATTTACATTTAGGTATTTCTGTTTTCATTATTTTTAAACAAACTGAGGTACAATCACTCATTGAATATGTACTTTTTTTTTTTTTTTTTTTTGAGACAGAGTTTCGCTCGTTACCCAGGCTGGAGTGCAATGGCGCGATCTCGGCTCACTGCAACCTCCGCCTCCTGGGTTCAGGCAATTCTCCTGCCTCAGCCTCCTGAGTAGCTGGGATTACAGGCGCGCTCCACCATGCCCAGCTAATTTTTTGTAGTTTTAGTGGAGACGGGGTTTCACCATGTTGACCAGGATGGTCTCGATCTGTTGACCTCATGATCCACCCGCCTCGGCCTCCCAAAGTGCTGGGATTACAGGCGTGAGCCACCGCGCCCAGCCGAATATGTACATTTTTAAGTGTTCAATGTGTTTTGACAAATGTATATGCCTATACCTTGATTGAAGTATCAGTACATCAGTCAAGACAGAACATTTCCATCACCCTAGAAAGTTCTCTTCTTGCCTTTTTTTTCTCTCAACTTTGTTGTTGTTGTTGTTCTGAGACTGGGTCTCACTCTGTCACCCAGCCTGGAGTGCAGTGGCGTGATCTTCAGCGCTCCAGTGATCCTCTTGCCTTAGTCCCCAGGTAGCTGGAACTAAGTGATCTTCCAGTGCTCAAGTGATTATCTCACCTTAGCCCCCAAGTAGCTTGGACTACAGGCACATGCCACCATACCTGGCTAATTTTTTGTGGTTTTTTTGTAGAGACCGGGTTTGCCATGTTGCCCAGGCTGGTCTCGAACTTCTGAGCTCAAGCAATCTGCCTGCCTCAGCATCACAAAGTGCTGGGACTACAGGCCTGAAACACCACGACTGGCTCCTCCTTGCCACTTCCATTTAATCTTCTTCCCTCTAGAACAGCAACCACTGTTCTGATTATTTATCCCCATATTAATCATATTAATTTTAGTTTTTTAAAGTGCAAAGTTCATCACTACCATGCTGGTCCTAACACTGCTATAAGTCTTTAGAAACCAATATATTTTTCTTGTTCAAATTTCACCAACTTCTCTGGATAGGTTAATTGATTTTTTAAGGTCACACCTGCGTGTTAATCTGCACGTCTAGTTCATAGCCTCTCAGAATAGAAGGAATACTAACACAAATGTCATACATGATTAGATAATGTAAGTAATCTGGTCTTTTAGAATACTACTGAATAATACTAAGCTACTTAAAATTAATTCCTATAATCCCAACCCTTATATTTCCATGGCAAGTAACATGCATTATCTCAGGGGAGAACGGCATTTTCAATTTACAGATGAGAAAATGATTCAACAACTAATTGATTTATACAAAAATCCCCTTACCATAACTAGTGGTGCCAGGACTAGATTTTTATTATCTTGCTCATTCCACTATCCTTGGCTGCATGTACACAAGGAAAGAGCCAACTTGTATTCCAAAAATTCAATTTCCTTGTTTCTTCTCTGAAAATTCATAGGTTACCCATTCTTT